ATTTGATTTTAAAAACTTTTCTCTCTCTCTTTCTCTCTCTCTCCTCTCTCTCCCCGTCTCTCTCTCTCTCTCACTCTCTCTCTCCTCTCCTTTTCTTTTCTTTTGTTTGCTCTCACAGTCATATGCACAACTGGCCAAACCACCAAACATACGTACGGGATATACAAAGCCAGAAGAATATATTTGAAATAATGATTTGTCAAACAAGTTTATTCCGTTGTCATCAACCATATACAATTGTTCAAACAGCATCAGGCGGACTTTCTACTTCTGCAAGGAAATAAAGGAATCCAAAAACGTCATTTACAATAGAACTAGTTGTAGTTAAACATATAATTCTGTTACAGAGTGTATAACAGCTAGTTTAATGTACCAGCTGCTAAATACGACGATACTGGGGCTCTCGTGGTCTGGAGCCTTTCTACTGCTACTCCTTGGCCCCTTCTTACTGTTGTCTTTCAGCCACACCCTTGATCTTAGGGTAGGCAGGATCTAACACCTAACCTTCTCGGATACTGGCGAAAATCTCCGAGGTCCTGTGTCTATAAATCCCTTGGTGGTTAAAAAATCGATAAGAGTACGCTTCAGCCACCACCCAGGCAAAGTTCAAAATTTTCTATCCAAACTAAAAAGGTATAATGTGTCCCACTCGCTCATATAACCATTTCCGTTACGAGCGCCGCAAAACACTTACCAAACAAAAAACAATTCTTAGGTAGCGGTAGATGTGCAGTTTGGGGGCATGACCTCGCTTCTCAAACATATTTTTCGATAGTTAGTAGTTTTAGTAAGGTTTTACTGCGCTTGCAACTGCATAAGGTCATGATAAGCGCCCCTAAACAGTGCGACGTATATTGTTTCCGACATTTACAATCATTTATTTGTTCAAGTGAAGAAGCGAAATAGATATGCAGAAACAACAGACATCGTTGTAGAAATTGTATCCTACATTTACTGTTGTTTTGTTTAGGGGAAGAAATAAGAAACATGTTTTAAAAACCCCCAAAACAACAGACAATGCTGTACATAATATTAGCCGACATTTTCTGTCATTTAACCAGTTCAGAAAAAGAAGCCAGGTACACAGAGACAAACAAAGGGAAAGAACAAAACAGTATCTCTTTTGGTAAGCCCTTGCCTATAGCGTCCTCCTCCCCCCCCCACCCCCTCCCCTCGGGCAACACGTCCCATTAGACACATAACATTATCCAAATATCTGGCTATGACATGGGCGCTGGCCGTCCTGCTCTGCTGGGTTGAGGACAGGCCATGGAGAGAGAGAAAGAGAGGGGGAAGAGAGAGAG